AAAAAAAAAAAAAAAAAAAAAAAAAAGAAAAAAAAAGTAAGTGACCGGTTTTAATCAATGAATAAAAACTATGATAAGCTAATAAAAGGAAGCTACTCATCTCCTTCATCAATTTCCATTTCTGCTGTAGACCCCACTGATGAAGTAGCTTTAGAATCCTGCGAATTCACCTGCAGGACGACAGTTGAGATTTTTATAGAAGGACCCGGAACACCAGTCTCTTCGGCAGGTTTAGAACTACTAAACATTAGTTACCATTTAACGTGATTAAAATATGATGTAGCTAAAGAACATTTAGATACCGACAGAAAAATGAAGACACCAAAATCTAAAACCAAGCATTAAGAACCATCTGGAGATCACCAAAAAGTCAATATAAAACTGTAATTGAGAAAAACTTTCAAAAAAGATACTTTGTCAAAGATCTGCTCCTTCCTTGTTTTTTACGAGCTTTCTTCCCCATGACGCCCATGAATCGCTCCAGCCGCCCGTCCAGTTTCTCGGCAAATATTTCTGCGTCTGTCTGACTCATTATATTGTCAGGCACTTCGTCCTTAAAAAATAAAACGTTTGTGTAACTAGATCTTTCAGCTAAAAAATTGAAACAATGCGACCCACGACCTTATCTCAGATACTAAAAATGACGATTTTATAGATAATTATAAGTAATTTAACACATTCTATAAACAAAACATCATAAACAGTGGGAATAAACTGATATTCTAGAAAAATGCCTCTCTTCGGTGTCAAACGAAAATCATCTTTACCAGTTTTTATGACCAAAACTGTTAACAGGCTTACACAATTAGATGACGATCTAAATGGAGATAAGGAAAGGACTGGGTTTTTTTCGAGATATACGAGTAATTTATCCAAGCCTTGCTTAATAATCTAAAAAAGAAGGACAGAGTTAAGAAAGCACCAAATAAGCTCTAAAATAGTCAAATGAAAACCCTGTAACCAAACCTGCCCTATAAACTCTTAAAGAATAACTAAAAAGTTATAATAAATTGAGCCTGGTGTCCCATTTCTACAAGTTGTTAATTTTGCTTAATCAGTCAAAGTAGTGATGGAATACTACAACATCTGAATTCTAAATCGTGCCAGTTAGATTTAGAGTATTATGTGATGTAGAAAAAAGTAGTGTTAAAGCTTCAAGATTAAAAAAGCAATAATAATTAGGATATTTCACGCGACGTTCAAAGTGTAAGAGTAAAATTCACTTGGTTCTGAGGTGCCACTCCTAGTGCTTCGTTAAAAAATTGCACTGCAAGCTCAAATTCTCCGAGCGAAGCATATGTGGTCGCCATCCCGCAAAGGGCTGCGGCATTACGAGGACGCATCGTTAAAGACTTCCTTAATAGCAGTTGCTCAATCCACAAATAATTAAAATCACATTACTAAAAATATCAATTACCCAATACTCAACAACTGAGTTATAGCACCCAGTGAAACATAACTCTAAGTTAGAACTAACAGCAGATACTTACTGATAAAACTTTAAAGAATCGCCGTGCTCTCCTCTACGACGCCTAATGTGTGCAAGATTATTAATAAGAGGTTCCCAAAAATCGCTGAGTGTCAGGTAAAGCAAATTAACCACATTAACTTTGTCTGACACAGGTCGGCCGTACGCAACCTTCAAAGCTTTCGTAAAGTATTCATCAGCAGCTAAAACAATACAAGAATAAGTCACCATTACACAGGTGCAAAACGCAGCTTCTTTCCGATAATAAACCTGCGACTATAAAAGTTTTTAAGTTCAACATAACCAATAAACTTGTTCAACAATCCAGCAACACCAATATTACTTTCTTCACTTAAATGTGTAATGAGCAAAATTTATCTTCAATATAGGGAAATGACTACAAGAATGTAGATGCACCTCTTCTACTACGCAAAATATTCTACATAAACTAAGCAGTGTATTTTAGCCCAGGAAAGTTTACAGCAAAACTAACAGTTGTAATCTTTATTCATGTAGAAAATGCAAGCCTGCTCATGAAACACTAGTGCGTTTTGACCAGCGTGCTCGGCAGAATCTTTTAAAAATTCCTGCGCCAGTTTAATACTGTTAGCGTAAGCGTATTCCAAACCAGCATACATGAAAGGTTCAAAGGAACCCTCGTGAACCCTTGATGCCTAAAAAAACGACTGTTAGTCAACGCAACAAATTGCTGTAGGTGCATTTATAAATAAAAAAGTTTTGGATCCTTCATAACTACTGACAAAGGATATACCCGCAAGTAACAATTTGTAGCTTGCTCGTGCTCCGATTCTGCAGTAAGAACATGACCAAAAGCAAGCCAACCTTCCCCAAAAGATGGTTTCATCATTGTACATTTATCTAAAAAAAAATTTTTTCTTAAAAAATAATTTTTAAGATAAGGAGCATTTTGGCCAATGTAACCAACGCAATGTACTGACTGAGAAAATTTTTTGCCATTGCATAATTGCGAATAGAATAGTAATAGCAGCCGACAGTATACCAGCTTATTTCATCATCTGGTTGAGTATCGACAAGCCTGTGGCCAAGAATAAACAAATCCTGATTTTTTTGTAGTAGCACCAGCGTAGCAATGTGTACAAGCAAACAGTCCTTGAAACAGAAAAAATAAAGCGTTGCAAGAGTGAATAACTTGAGTAGTTTACGACAGGAATAAAACATTTACTGGTTAACAAAAAAATAAGACTGCAATATGTTTCCTTATACATTTTACTGCAAACTGAAGGAAGAAAAAACGAAAGGTAAAAACTGGGGACTAATTATTTGAAACGAAAAATCTCTATTGAAAAATTCTTAACTGTGTAAGGTTCATTTGTTAAAGAAAAATAACAAAACAGCAGACCTGGTAAATGCCTGTTTCATCTAGAATTTTGCTCGTAACTTTGTAGGCACCAGCAATGTCACCCACTTGATACAAATAAGTAGCGTAAGCAGTTCTTAATGAGAAGTCTGTGCTCGAAATCTCTAGAAGTGCATCCTGTTCTGGCTTCTAAAAAAAATTATTTTACACTCAAGGCAAAAAAAAGTCTCTACCAGAAACAAACAAACCTACACTAATAAAATGCCCTCGTAAGAAGTAAAAATGCTTGAAAGCATCCTTCACACCACAGTTAGCAGAGGAAACTCTAAATCAAAACTTTATACAGAAGTATAATTAAATATATATTTGTATATATTTATATAAAACACAATACTTTATAGAAATATAAAAATCAACTAGGTTACATGCCCTACAATAAATCCATTTAACATAACTCCTGTTGGCCATCAGTTCTCAACGCTTGCTGGTAACACTTATAAACCAATATTAAAAAAAAATATATTTCTTGAAATAAAGAAACTGCACACCAACAAAATGATCATTCCAACTTAATATCTTATTAATCATTGCCTAATTGGTCTTCCCTTCCACTCATAATTTGCGCTCCACAAAAGATAAACAATATCAACTGACCCCTTTTGTTATTTTCATCATTTCAGCTGACAGAATATGAACAGTGTTTAGTAACTGAACTACTCCCTAGGTTTTGATAACTGAGCGGCAATAGAGAAGCCAGTAGAGACTTAACTAATTTTTAAAATGAAAGACAGTGTTTTCTTTAGGACGCCGTTTATAATTTATCCTACCTAAGACCACAATCGCTTCTACAAAAAAGAGCTTGGAAACCCCCATGAAATCAGTTGTTCAGTACTTCCGTCTTCTCGTCGCCGGATTTAGAAAATAAGCATTCAAGCTGCCAAAATATTGTAAAATAAAAGTGCGAAGTTGAATGAAAATAAAAACCTTTTCAATTTTAAAGCATTTGTTGTACAAAAAAAGCATTCCACTAAAATTAAAGCTTTATTATAAACAATGTCCTAAAACGAAAAATTCCAAACTGAAAAGCCAAAAAAACAACTAACATTTTGAAACAATTTCCTAAATCATTATCTGAACGTCATTTCAAACAAACTAAAAGTTATGCGAGCTACACAGCAAAATCCAAGCAAAAGAAGTAAAAAATAGCTTACTTCTCAACTAGCTTTTCAAACTCAAGTTTTGACTTAAAAAGGTTGAATTTTTGAATAAGTTCCAAAGCCTCTGTCATACACGGATCCTTATCAATTACTGCCTGAAGGCACAATTGAGCATCTCGCCTGTTCTGATTTATTAAATACGTTTTACCGAGCAGCACCAAAAGACTAGCTTCCAACTGGAAAACATTAGACTGGAAAACTGGAAAACATTAGTAGGTTTCCCAGTGTTGAATGTTGAAAATTCTAAGTCACAGCTAAATTTTAGAAGTTTTAAACGCATATGAAAATTACTTTTAAGTTTTCAGCCAAAACGTCTAAAACGGTTTTATCTTTGATACCAGGTAAATAAGATTTTGCACCAAAGACTTCCGACCTGAATGGTTCCACTGACGATACAGGACTGGTAAAACCATCCTAAACTGGTCATTTGCTAACTAGTCTAGCTCAGTGACTAAATATCTGAATTTTAATTGCAATTCGCAAAAAATCTCAAAAACAAAAAGACAAAACCGTATGGCGTATTTGAAATTTAAGACCAATATTTTAAGGAGATGCGTAGTAAAACGAATAGAATTAAATACATTTGAAAAAGTTGTTCTAGAAATTTACCAAGGAATTGAGTTTCAACTTTAAAATTTCCTCGTATAGTTTTCTATGATACAAAGCATTAACGTAGTAGTATGCAAAAACCACGTGTTTTGTGATAAGCTCATACTGCCTAATAAAAGTTATAGTTCGAGTCCATTCCTCAATCGTCGCCAGTGCCTCAAACAATTGTAGATTATCATAGTGACAGCTAAAAACACCCATCAGTGAGCAACTATAGAAAGGACCAGAAAAAACTTCGATGGAAGCTAAGAAAAAAGTTATTATTGCACAATGGCGCCTTATTCACTTTCAGGAACTCCGCCATATCTAAGAAAGACGGGGGCTGCTTTTCTTTTTGGCACAGAGAAAGACGTTTGTCAATCCAAAACAACGCTGTCTTTCGCTGTGCAGTCTGCAAATACCGCTGTATCAAACCATCAATGGCCTCAATTTCTGAAAGTGTGTTTGGGTTAGTGACAGTAGCCGTCGCAGAGTTCTTGCACTGTCTTGGAGTTTCTTGAGTGCGCGATAAGGGCCTGTAAAAATTAACAGGGAGCATCAGGAAAAAAAAAGTCTACTGAACAGAATTTACGTCTTTTGCCGTGGCTTTTCAACTGTTAAGACTTAGGAGGTTGTTGATAGACATGACTGTGGATGTTCTGAATTATATTGCTTAGTGAAATAAATTAAATAAAATGACTTACTGGCGAGTTAAAGAGACAGCCAGAGTAGAGCTTCTCAGTTGTCTTGATTCAAACTTTGATGGCGTACGTTTTGGTGTCCTGCCCACCATTATAAAAACAAACACAACAAAAAACTTTTACAATCCTTCCGAGTGGGATGCATTTGAAAGTTGGAAAATTGCCTTGAAGAGTTCTTGAAGACAGTTAAAGGTAACAAATTAAAACGCAGAAAAGAAGAAATTGCGCGAAACTTACAAAAAGATAAAATAAAATCCTCAAAAAGTATTCACGAATGAATACTCATTTGGTATCAGAAGCTCAAACTACGCATTAGATAAAACGTTTTGTGTTCAGCTCTAACGCTTTAAAAATATCGATAACCGAAAGTCATTTAAAAATGGTCGTAGTAAAACTTGATCATAAAAGTATTTACTGTGCCTTTGAAATTTGGATGTTTGTTTGCTTGAAAACGAGATCGTTTCCTTCAATCAACCTTTGCATTCTATATCTTCCCAAATAAAAACTGTTAGAAAAACTCCTTCTTTAACAAGTCTTTACACTTCTTTCGTCATTCTTATTATTCTCAATATCAGAGAAAATTCTTTAAATATGAGGAGGATGCCCAATGACATTTACAACTCCTGTAGACTCAAAACTACGTAAAACACCCACCTAATTAAGCAAACGAGAGCTCAGCACTTACTATTCTTTCGGCATCTGTCTTATCAGTGCTTAAGTAACAAATTTCTAAATTAAGAAAGTAGTCTTTTTCCACAAAAGATCCCTGTTAAAACATAAGCGGTACTGTAGATATAGAACACAAGCAAGTTGATAGGAACCTACAAATCTTAACATTATTGTTAAAATATCCAAGAATCAAAGCCAATCAGTATTTCCACAAAAGTTTTCAAAGGAGTTCTGTTTAAAGCAAAAACACTAAATGACCAAGATAGTTTGAAAAGGTGTTCAATTGACAAACTGAAAAAGTTAACCAACAATCTCTATCCATCTCTTATTGTTCCTTTCCAGTGATGCACCATCTACAACACTCAAGGCTCAAATGCCAACATAATTCATTCGGAATTCTTAGGAAAACGGAAATTCCGAAGCTGAAAAAAGTAAACACACGTATATCTGTATTTATATAGTTTACATTTATAATCACACCTACATCTTAATGAATGCGGTTCAAGCATCAGAGCTGCCGTCTGAATTTGTGGCGTCAGTTAATAAAGCTACACATTCGATATTATGTAGCGTTTTATTTAAAGAAGAGGTGCATATTTGACGATTGATCGAATACCTTTTGAAAATGTGATAGATTGTTGAGCGTAAAATTACTAAACCACCCGATGCTAAATTTAGAATTTTATATGATACAGGTTATTTGAAAGTTCTTTTCCTAAACTATTTTTTTCACGCTCCTTAATGACTTTCAAGGGGAGACTCGTAAATCACTGCCAAAATATGAAAATAAATTAAAACAAAGAAACATTTCCCAGAGACTAAGCATTTAGGCGTTTTCAACAAATTAAAAATACAGACAGGAATCTAGATCAAAAAGTAAAGCCTATGAAACTAAGGTACTAAAACTGTCTTTTTGAAATGTTATCTGACTTTAGTTTAGATTTTCTCCAAAAAAAAATTTCCTAAAGATACAGAAACATCGTCAAGCACCAAAACGGTTTTAATGATGACAGTGGAATAATTCAAAGCATAATCATAGTAACACGGATACAAATGCGTATATAAACATAAGATGAAGAAAAATTGGATGCCCCAGTAAAAGGCAAAAACTTCTTTGATCCTTTACATATCTATAATCCTTACAACCAACTAACCAGCTGACATCAATGAATATTCTAATTGCCGAAAAAAAAAAAGAAACTGCGTTTGAGCTGATATAACAATAAAAATGCCTTCACTGCTAAGCTAGGAGGCTGCAAAATGAGATTTTTAGCTCTTATTTCAATCGACAACGAAATTTGAATATCATTTTCGCGGTTACACTCTCAGTTTTTGGGATTCGGCCAACTTTCCAAAAGTTCTTGTCACTGTCATTAAATATCTGGCGGATGGTTTAACTGTTTCAAGGATAATTGGCGCTAAACTTGTGTACTTAGGCCAAGAAAGAGATCTATGCCGGTTTGGACACGGTTTAGGTGAATTGAACTGAAGGAGAAAATTTTATGAGCGGTACATTGCACTGAGGTGAAAAGGTATAAAGTACTGCAGGTGTAGAAATATGTTTCTCCGGGAGGAGACGGATAATGGCGAACTGGACTTAATGCATACAGGGAATTTCTATTCTTTATTTGACAAAACTTGCAACTTTTTGCAGCTGATTCGGCGGGTGTTTAAGTTGCGATACAATGACACATAGATATTACTTTTGTCTGGAACCGGGAAAATATAGAAAATTATCAAAATCTGTTGAAGGTTTTGATCAGATGCCATTAGAGGCTCCAGCGTATGTCGAAAAGTAAGCATTCCATTGAGCAGCAGTACGGTGTAGTAAATTGTGATGTTGTTTTGTGGGATGTAGTTTGCAATGCTGCTTTTTGAAGAGGTTAACTATTTTTACGCT